CAATGGCATTTTCATTTGGGTCACCCATCGTTTACGATTAGCTATTCCTACATTGAGTCATGCGTCTGTCTTAGAGTGTGAAGCTTGTCAGTTGGGCAAACATCACCGTAGTTCTTTTCCTAGTCGTAGTCATGGTCGTTAAATTGAGTCTTTTGATGTAGTCCATACGAACATTTGAGGTCCTTCTCGAACCACTAGTTTAAATGGATTTAGTAATTTTGTTAGATTTGCTGATGACTATTCACGAATGACATGGTTATTTTTAATGAAAGAGATATCTGAATTACATCATATTATAGTTAAATTTTATAATGAAATTTTTACTCAATTTGGTAAACGCATTAAAATTCTTCGATCTGACAATGCCTTAGAATATACACAATCTATCATGGATTCCTTTTGTGATGATCATGGTATACTTCATCAGACTAGTTGTGCTCACATCTCTCAACAAAATGGTGTTACTGAACAAAAGCACCACCATTTGTTGGATGTTGCGCATACCTTGTTATTCAATATGCAGGTTCCAAAACAGTTTTGGGTTGATGCAGTTTTGAGTCTTTTGATGCTGTTTTGAATAATCAGTCTCCTTTCTCTCTTTTATATCTTGATCGCTCTCCCTTTCAACTTACCCCTCGTGTCTTTCCCATAGACAGGACGAGAATAAGCATTAGCAGTTGTAGGTAACTTCTCACTAGCGAAAATTTGATCTTTGAAGCCACGAAGATCTATGTCTAAACCGGATAACAATGAAGCAATCATAAACTCCTCCCAGTGCCTCTTCTGTTGTTCCAAATTAGTAGTAAACGATCGATGTTGCAATAACTGGTCCCACAAATTGTTCAGGATACTGTAGTATTCTAACAGTGGTTTCCTCGACTACCTGGTAGCAAAAATCTTCTCATACAACTTATAAACTCAAGAAATATTACTCTGGTGCAAAAATGACTCCGTAATAGAGTCCCAAATCTTCTTAGAAGAATCACAAAATGCAACTGTACTAGCAATCTCTGGTTCCATACTGTGCCAAAGCCATCCCATAACAACAGTATCCTCACACGCCCAAACTTCAATTTCCTTCGTGTCAAATGGAGGATTTTCAGTCAAGTATTTCAAAATCCTTCGGCCACGCAAAAAGACTTGAACTGCATGAGCCCAAGAAAGATTATTAACTCCATTCAATTTTTGTGAGGTAATCGACTTAGGCACGTCATCATCCTTAATGGTTTGTGGCTTAGTCTCAGCCATGGATACCAATTAATCAATATAAAATAGTAGCTGAACAGATAATAAGTCCAGAATCAATGCACAAACCAAACAAACAGGTTTAATTTCAGATTTTATAGCACCACAGCAACCCAAGGACAAGATATCAGCAGCCAAAGAAGCAAACAAGGTTTAACAGTAGATTTCAGCACCAAATTTACCAAAAACAGTAGCAATAGCCTGCAGCCCAAGAAGCCAAACAAGTTTTCACAGAATATTTCAGCACCAAACTCACCAAAAACTGGAAAAAAAAAAACCTCAGCTGAACCTCTGTTTGGCCAAAAACTCAACCCAAATGCAAGAAATCAACACACGACCATCAAACAAACTCCTCTGAGGCCCAAACGACACCCTTTAGAAGGGATTTCAACAAAACAAAAAAAAAAAACCATGAAAGGCTCCAAAATCCAGATAAAAAATAATAATAATAAAAATAAATAAAAGAATTCCAAATTTGTTTCAAAAATGGAAAACGATCCTCAAAAGGCATAAAAAAGGTACTGTCGACCATGATAAGCATAGATGTCAGATCTCTCAGCCAATGGCTTTAACAGAGACTCTAGTTGATCAGATGGCTCTTGCTACTAATTCTAGACTTTCGAAGGGAAAGTTTATTTGTCAATATCGTGGAGTCACGGGTCATGTAAAGAATCGTTGCTTTAAGCTTCATCCCAAGCTAAAACATAAATTTTCTCGCAATCGTCCTTCTGGCCGTAGTCGCACTGCCGCAGTAGCCGATACTATTGGTGGGTATGCTACTCCACATATTGTTTCTCCTGCTTCAACTCCTCCCAGACCATCTTTTCAAGACTTCAGTCAATTACAGTCCCAGATTGATCAGCTTGAGGAGCAGTTCGGAGCTTTATCTACCAAGGCTGGCACTTCTACTCCTACAACTACTATAGCGACAGGTACTCCTTCTGCTTTTCATGTTAAAGCGGGAAAACCTACTTGGATTCTGAATTTCGGAGCCAATGATCACATGATTGGTGAGTTTGTTGTCAGGGGCTTATTTGTTATTACTTATATAATGTTGAGGCTTATGTGTAATTTTTGAAACTTCTTATTATAAATAGAATGTGGTGGAAGAATGAAAGTATTCTCTCTCTCTTTTTTATCTCATCCGCTTTCTTCTCTTTTTCTTTTTCTTCTTTATCACTTACTCTTGATCAGATTATATCTTAGAGTCAACATGATATCATAGCATGGTTTGTAAAGCTCTAGGTGTGTAGTTGAAACCCTAAGGCAAGTTTGTGTAAACCCTAGTGGGTGTGAAGGGTTTTGAAGAGATTCCAAGATGGAATTTGTTTGCAAGGAAATAGTATTAATCACATCAACACATACCGCGGATCCAACTCCGTGGTGAGTTGGCTGGGGTTCGCAAGGGGTAGCGCCCCCTTACTCGGGAATCTGCAACAGTGGCTTTTTCTTTGGCATTCGCGATTCTGGTATGGCCTACTTTGTTGCTTTCTAGGGTTTGTGTGGTCGCTTTTTTATGCATCTCAAAAGACGGTAATCTTTCTAGTTTAAATTTGTGTATTAGAGAGGTGGTTCTCTACGTATTTTGTTGCTGCTTTTGTTTCTGAGGATTGTATACCCATAAATTGTTTGATAAAATGTATGGCTCAAAGGTGACTTCAAAAGAAGCTGGGTCTTCTCCTACTCTGACTTCAGTATTAGGAGATAGTAGTGATCACCATCTAGACCTTTGTATTACGAGTATTAGGCTGGATGAGACGAACTATATGGAGTGGGCTCAATCTGCTCGTATGCATATCACTGGTCGTAAGATGATCGACCATATTATCGAAGGGGCTATCACGTATCCCTCCAAGAGCGATCCTGAGCTCAAAGAGTGGAGTGCAAATACTGCACTAGTTATGACGTGGTTGTTGCAATCAATGCAGCCACAGATCAGCAAAGGGTTTCTGTTTGTGAAAACAGCTAAAGAGCTATCGACGGCTGTGGAAGAGACGTATTCCTCGGTTGGTAATTTTGCAAAACTGTATGAACTCCAACAGCAGATTTCAAGATTCAAGCAGGAGGACCAAACTCTTGCTACATATTACCACACTCTACGTGGTAAATGGGAAGAGTTAGATCACTACCAAGACTACAAACCTGTGTCAACATATTTCCAAATTGCATACCAAAATTAATAGGTTGACACACGGTACTTTTCCTCATGTGTCAACATATTTCCAAACTGCAGATATTTTCACTAAATCCTTGACTAAGACTATTCACCAGTTCTTAGTTGACAAATTGATGCTTGTGGATTCACTAGCATCAATTTGAGAGGGGGGTATCAAAGGTATCAGAGTGGTGATCTGCATACCAAAATTGGATGATTTTATGAGTTGTAAGATTGCTTCTAATTAGGGATTACATTCCAATTTAGGTGACTTACGTATTGCTTGTAGTTAGGAATATTATTTGTGGATACCCAAAATCTTGGGATATGATTGTTGTAAGCATCCCTTGTGTAGAATAGTCAATATTATTATATAAAGGAAGTCTTCCGAAGGGAAAAAGACAAGTTTTCTCCAGAAATTCTGTGTCTTGTCACTACTACACTGCTATCTTCTCTCTCTCGAGTTTGCTTAGGCTTCCACCTATCGGATTCTACTGTTTATCTGGGTCACTCATATTAATATAGTTACTATAAAAGAAACCCCACAGCCCCCCCTCCCCCACCCCACCCAAAACAATCATCACACGAATCGTCAATGTTGGCCCATAGGTTGGTAAGGATGATTCATTTGGCACGTAGACAAAGCTTGTACACTACATAAGCTAAGAGCAAGGTTCAAAAGCCTTTTATAAGCCTTGAGCAAGGCTAACCATCATGACCTCTCACATAGATTGGCGATGTTGGCCCTATGGGATGGAGAATAGGATTGGTGGCTAAAATGACCCACAAATGGTAGTTGGTACTTTATTCTCGCCTCGAGATTTGTTTATTACATGTTATCACTGTCACCTTCTCTTCCTCCATAGAACTTATTATAGTGACTATAGTAAATATGTTCCACCATGAATTGTGTTCAAGCTATTTTTCTTATGGAAATACAGTGAGGCTGTACTAGTAATTTTTTCATGCTTAAATTGAGTGTAATAAAGATGAGCCAAACCCGTATCACTAAGATATTGAGAAATTTCATAGGGGACAACTAAACCCTCCATTTGGCTTTGGCTATGATTATCACTTCCGAGTATGCATCTAAATGTAAAACTTTTCAGTCCGCAAATTTAGGATATAACTCATAAGACGAGTGCGATAAAATCCAAATGTCCAATTTGCTTCTTTTTTAAAGCTGGAAAAAAAAAAAAAAATGTGACAAAGCATGCCCACATGCACACATATTTTAAATATATTATTGCATTACTACTATCAAACAAGCAAGTAACTGAAAGGGAACCAAAAATACGTCTCTTTCTAGAATGCCATCTTAGTAGTTAGTACTTACCAAAAGGAAGGCATGTTACTTATCAGAAAAAAGGAAGGCATGTTATGTTGGCCTATATCCATGATGCACGTATATTACATTATTACGTCCTATACAAGTACTTTACCCATAAAAATTAGGAAAAGAAACAATTAGGCAAATCATTTACATGGAGGAATGCATTAAAGATGCAAATTATCAAAGAAACTTCAATATCATATCTTGCGGTATATATTTACCAATTTACTACTAGCATTTAAGCAGTATTTAGATAGAGTCCACTACCTCGTTTGCCGCCAAGGTCTGAAGGAGTGAATGAAGGGGCATCATGAGCCCACTTGAATTCTTGCAACTGTTTAAAGTTCATCCATGGCTTCACCCAAACTTTTGCTTCATAAACCTTTCTTTTACCAGCATCAATAGCCTCCAGTGTAAGATGGTACATCTTACCAGCAATCACCTGTTCTTTAGCTTTCACCACTCTCGCAAACTCAAGAAGGCCATTCTGTAGAAAAAGAGAAATGCAAACGGACACAGAACAATAAAATGATTAATCATTACAGATTAATCTTGAGAATTACAAAGGGGAAAGTAGAAATTTAAAGCAAAAGACAAATAAAAATGATAATTAGGAGAACCTAACATATCTATATATCCCGGTTCTGAACTGAACCAGAGATTGAAGAAGTAGTATTTATTAAGAGATAAATTTTATTGGAAAATATGCGTGTGTATAGAGAGGGAAACCCCCTAATTTAAACAAAAAAAAAAAAAAAAAAACTAGGAATCGAAAAAGATAGCATGTGACGACAATGTAAACGAATAGAAAAGACTAAAATTTGAAATTAATCACAAGAGATTAAAATTTGAGAATCGCAAAGGGAAAAAATAGAAACTTCAAAATAAAATCTATATTTGTCAAGAAATAGATTATATTTAAAAATACTATACAAAGGGGATCCCTAGTTTAAACCACAAACTAGGAATCGATGAAAACCTCTTTGTTGTTGTGTTCTTGGACAGCAAAGCGAGCGATGCTTTCGATCTCGAAACTGTTCTGGCTGCCCCTGCAATCGTGAACCCCGCCCACACCCAGAGTTTTCATCCTTATGAAACCCTCCTCTCTACAAAGCCCTAACTCACAGAGCGTAGTGAGAACCAGCACAAAAACGCTCAAATGAACAACACAAAACCTATTAATATTAACCTTCATTGAACTTCTATCTATCTCCATCTACTTCGGCTTTTTCTTTCTCTTTTTCAAACCCTAGTAGCATGCAACATCCCTGGATTTTATAGCGATATTGCGTGTAAGAAAACCACCGCAAATACCAAAAAGGTTTTTGGCCCAATGGTATAACCTCTCCATTTTCAAAGAAAAGGGGAGGGGTTCGAGCCCTGGCATGGCGTGAGTAAAAAAGTGTGTGTATTCGCTTTATCATCCAAAAAAAAAAAAAAACCACTGCACCAAGTTATTGTTTAACCTTTGAAAACAAATAAAATATTTAAATTAACCCGATTTGTTCAAATTACAAATTATTTGAGAAATCACTCTAAATTACTGTCAAAGTTAACCCGTTAAGTATCTTTATGAAAGTATCATACTATCCTCAATTTTAATAAATAAAATGCATACAAAATTAATATCTTTTTAAAGCCCTACGACATCTACAAGCACAGAAGAACAACACAAACACAAAACCAAAAGCACCAAAAAGCAAGACCCGACAAAACAACATATCAGTGGGACGTGGCAACCCGAGGTTGAACATCACCAACTAACAACAAAGCAAGCTGCGTTGCAAAAGACTGCGATGAAAATGAATCCAAGGCAACAGAATCACCAGTCTACGCACCAAGGGGAATATTTCCCGCAGCTTCAAAAGAAAACTGATCCGTAACCAAACATTCCTTAAAGGAATCCACTGAGACCTTAGGCTTTTTTCCATCAAGCAAAGAAGACCCCTAAACCAACATAGGATTACTAGTGCGACGCGTATGAGTGGAGCCCTGGCTATGAGAGGAGTCCGACGAGGCTAAAAAACGACCTTTACGAGACACCATTGGACCTTTACCTTTCCTACTGCCTTTAGAAAGTTGATCCCATCGGGACAAAGGCAACACTCGCCCTTGGTCATGAGAAACTGATGGTACACATTGAGCAAGCTCCTCCACATGGACAGAAGCCACAAAACTTTAAGAGGAGGATCCATGAACAACATTATTTGTCGAAACATTACCATCCGCCCCTTCTAAAGCACCATCAACAGAGTGACCCGAACCCACAACCGCCTGGACACCCACTAGAGAAACCTCAAAAGGAGCCTTAGAACAAGTGCCCAAATCAACACCAACCCTTTCCACAGCCATCACCCTTACAGTGGACAAATCCTCGTCCACAACTTGAATAGTACCCGAATAAGCCTGGCCATGAGGCGCATGCACAGAGAGGTCGCCCAACACCCCATCGGAGTCATCACCCTCCACATAGAGACAAGTCTTACCGGAAGTCACAACCAAATAATCATTACGATCACCACTAAGATTCCAAATGTCCTTCCCCAAGTAACCCTCCACCCCTAACCATGGCCCATACTCTAGCGATGCCACATGGGGCTACGGAATGCCAACCAAACAGTGCTACCAGTTATGTCCAATAATACTACAAGCGTAACACAAGGACGGAAGTTTTTCATACCAGACCAGAATCCAGACCTCCGTATCCGATAGACCTAGCAACTGCACATTCCGACAAAGCAGTTGAGAAATATCCACCTCCACTTTGAGATAGAGAACTCGACTATCAACCAACAAAGTCTCATTACTCTCCATTACACCCTTATCTCGCAACTCAACCTTCAAACAGTGGCCAAATGAATCCGCGATGCACCAACCAACCATTTCAGAGAGAAAATTCGCAGGTGTATCACAAAGCTGAAGCCAAAAAGGAGAAATCTAAAATGCCGACTCAGAAAGGAGAAAACCGTCCTCCCATTCTTTAAGAACCAACAAATGTCCATCAAACGACCAGGGGCAGCCATGCAAGATCCGGAGACGAACCGAGTTATCCGGAATGACAAGTTGAAATAAATTTCTTGAAATGTTATACACAATTAGACAGGAAGACAACGCTTCAGATTGGCGCTCCTTTGGCCATAACTTTTGAAATAACCTACCAAAAGTATATTTAGCACTAGCAAGCGTAATAGTCTTTGCATCCCAGACCTTGCCAAATAAATTATTGCAACACAGTGATACCCCTTGAGCTATATCCTTAGCCGATAACTGAATCGGCATCTTCTCCGCACTGGTAAGTGTTAAACCATTCATTTAGGCAATTAGAGAAGTTGTCATCAACCCAATACAAACAACAAAAAAAAGAGGACCACTGAGAAAGACCCACAATGGACGCCGACACTGTAAAAGAGAAACCATAGACCCAATAGGGACACACATACAGCCCCGATAATATATAAGAACAAAAGAAGATCCTAGAAGTCTAAAGAAGGCGGTCAACCCTTGGACAACAAGTAGCATCTCCCAACCACACAGAAAAAGCATAATAATATGACGTACTACTGCACACAAACGTGCATAAAAGAAAACCATAATGTGAAGGAGACTCGTGCAGAGACCCACGTGAAACATTGGGACAAAGAAAGCACGAGTAGAAAAGAAAGGCAACACGTGGCAAATGAAAAAACTAAACACGAAGAAGCAAAGCGTAAGCAGGAAGCTTACCTGCAAACTCTACTGCATACCCACGTGAATAAGCCCCTCTTGAAAATGACCAACTATGGCCCACCACCTATTAGCCCAGCCACACAAAACCCACCAGAATCGGCCCCAGATCAACCGGAAACAGCCCCATGATCGGAGCCGACAACAAACTCCAACCGAGAACGCAGCCAGCGCCACCGAGAACGCAGCCACACCAAAACAAAAACTCGAAGAAACCACCATGCCCATAAGAAAAAAACCTCACGATCAAAGCAAAAACGGAACCGCGAGTAACTAGGAACAACCATCATCCTCAACTCAAGGCAAACCCAAGAACAACAACAACAAGAAACGAAAATTTGGCTCTGATCACACAGAGAAACTCAGCCGGCCTGAGAACTTTTATGAGAGAGAAAAAACAATATCTTTTTACTTTCATATTTTTTTCCCCCTAAATAACGAAAAATTTATAAATATAAAAATAATATAGTACAAGGCAATAAGTAAGGGCATACCCTCACTTTAAACATAATCCTATGGGCAGGATTAAAACAAGAGGTAAAGACCTGCTTCAAAAGAAAAAATCAACCATAGTTAAAGACATTTTGGAGAGCCTAAGACATCAAAAACATCTCATACAATACGCTTAATAAGAACTTTAAGACATCTAGGTACATCATTGTAAACTCTACCATTTCTTTCCTTCCACAGATAATATAAAGTGGCCGAGAATATCATCTAAAATAACTTATTTCTTAACGACTTCACTGCAAATTGTTGCACCCTCTACTTGAACATATCAGCAATACCCTACCAGACTTACCACGTATAATCACAGCCTACACACATATTATCAACAATTTTTTCATGCCTACAACATAGACAACACACTCGAGTTAATGAAATACCTCTCCACTGCAAATTAGAGCAAGTCATGATAGCATTATATAGGATAAGTGAGTAATATATAGACCGCATAAGCTTTGCACTATTCCAGACCAAGGAAAACCAAAAAACTTCTGGTTTAGTTTCCCTAATAGCCTCTTAATCTGCCTTAAATGTAAACCTTTTGCATTGCCATAAAATCTTATCTTCACCTCCATGTATTTTGAACTGTTGCGTATGTGTTTGGACTGCATAAGGGATATCATTAAACTTCCACTGTCCATGCTCTATGAACCTACTTAGGATAATCTTCTTATCAATAGACACTAGTCCAAGGGTTTTGAAGTTAAACTCCTCTGATAAAAAGTGCCCATTACACCAAGGATCAAGGAATAACTTTATCATTTAACCATTTCCAATATGGTACCTGCAAATTTCCTTCAAAATATTCCTAACTGCCACAATACTCTTCCATATGGAAAAATAGGACTCCCTAGGAACCACAGACCAATAAGTAGCCCTCTTCATATTACAATGTTTGTACCATGCCACCCACAATCTGTCCTTTGAGAGAAGAAAGTCCCAAACCAGGACACATTTAGCAGATTTGTTAATGTCACCAGTTTCCTCAGCCCAAGACCAACTTCTAATTTTGGAGAAGTCAATCTATTCTAACACTGACCATGAAGCTTGAAAGAATTATCATCATGACCCCAGGCAAAATTCCTAATCCTTCTTTCTAGTAAGTTAATAACAGCTGTTGGAATTAAATATACAGAAGCCTAGTATTGGACCATTGGAGTGATCACAACCCTAAGCAGTTCAACTCTACCAGCCATAGATAAATTCATACCAGCCCATCTAGTAGTAGCTGCAACAACCTTATCATTCAAAGGTTTACAATCTAACCTTGTTAACCCTTTATCAGAAACTAGCACACCTAAATAAATGATAGACAGCTTTCTTTATTTGCAACCAAGAGTTCTCAAAATTGTATATTTTCTTCTTATTCACCTGCTTAAGAAGACTTCTGATTTAACCAGAAACAGATTCAAAATGCTTCATCATTCTCCCAAGAGTTATGACAGAGACCATGCTTGCCTTGACTACCACAAGAAGATCATCAGCAAAAAATTAATGTGACACCATTGCATTGGCTTTTCTAGCAGCTTCAAGAATAACTAGATTTCTTGCTCTACATTCATACTAAACATATGCCTGACAAATATTCAGTCACTAATGTAAACAAAATGGGGGATAATGGACAAGTTTATCTGATTCCCCTAGATGGTTGAAAGAAACCACAAAGGCTGCCATTGACCAAGAGTGAAAACCAAACAATAGATATATAAGCCAAAATCCAGCCAATCCATTTACTTTAAAAACCAAAAAGCTGAAGTATCCTTAACAAGAAGCTACATTGAATAGAATCATAAGCCTTTCTCAAGTCAACCTTCCATGCTAGAGTAGGTTGTGTGTTCTTAGCTCCAAATCCTCTTATCAACTCATTGGAAAAAATAATGTTGTCTTGTATTTTCCTCCCACCAATAAAAGTATTTTGTTCTTTTCCCACAACCTGATCAAGGATTAGCCCAAGTCTGGAAGCCAAAAGTTTGGTGATAATCTTGTACATGACATTGCATAATGAAATTAACCTGAACTCCCTTACCTTGACTGCATCTTTCCATTTTGGAATCAATGTAATAAAAGTACTA